GGCTGGCATGTGGTGCTGGGGGATTGAACTGCGGTCCCTGTGCTTTGCTAAGCTTGTTCTAAGTAGGTGCTTTAGACCACTGAGCCATCTCACCAGCCCATTGTGTTATATCTTGAATAGTGAGAATTTCACTTGATGGAAATTCTGGGGAAATAACAGTCTGAACTAAGGAAATACCTGAAACAAAAGGCAGAGACCTGATTTTGATGGTGTATGTTATGCTTTGAGGGACTCTAAATGGTCTTCAGAACATATGGCAGGTCAGTTAAAGCCCTTCCTTAGATTGGCCCCGATTCCCTTATGAAACTTGAACTCATTTGACCTTCTGGGCTGCACTAGATGACGATAGTGAAGATTGGAGCCGGATCTGACACACTCACTTTTTCCTCTTAATGTTATTGCCATACATTATGTTTTTTTTTTTCTGTAGCCTGTCCTTTCATCAGAGCACATGGCAGCCTTTGGAGTTTTCGGTCTCTGCCAGATTCATGCTTTTGTGGATTACCTGCGCAGCAAGTTGAATCCACAGCAGTTTGAAGTTCTTTTCCGGAGTGTCATCTCCCTGGTTGGGTTTGTCCTCCTCACCATTGGAGCACTCCTCATGTTGACAGGTAGGGAAGGGTCATAGCTTGTATAAAGTGCAAATGTGTGTAGACACAGAATAAACACCAAAAACACAGGGAGTTTTCTGACCACAGATGATTCCTTTCGATTTCTCTATTTTTTGTTTCAAACATGAAAGTCACTTTTTCATTTTCAGTCCTCCTATCAGCTGTTTGGATTCAGTATATCAGAGAATGTCCTATGAGAGCTCTTTCTAATCACATCTGGTAAAAGAACTGTATTTACCTTGTAAGCTTTTTTTTTTTTTTCGGAACCAGGGTTTGAACTCAGGCCCTTGTGCTTGCCAGGCAAGCACTTATTCTACTGAGCTATCTCTCAGGCCCCTTGCTAAGTTTTTAAAGGTTTTTTTTTTTTTTCCCTTTTCTTTCCTATTGACTGGGTGGTGGTAGAAAGCCCTCTATTTCTTTTTTTTTTTTTTCTTCCTCGAATGCCTTCAGGGCACTTTTGGCCAGCGGGAGAGTTGTGAGGTTCGAACTCCAGAAACCTGAGGCTGACAGCTTTGTGGAAGCAGCCACTTAAAGGACTGAGCTAGGGCCAGGCCCCCGAAAGCCCTCTATTTCTTTGCTATACTGCATTACGGTTCTTGTCTAATCCTGTGGGCACTAAATCAGTTCTTTTGCTTGGTGAGCATATTTTCCTGCTCCATTTTTCCCACTTACTTTTCAGGGAATAATTTTGATTTTGCCTAAGTCTCTCTATTGGCTAATTCTGAGTGAGACTGGAAGATGTAGTTCATGTAGTGTCTGGAGTTGGCCTTGGGTTGACCATCTGAGGCCTGAACCCTTTCCAGGAAGTTTTTCTAATTTATGTACAACTGAGTTTTATTCTGCTTGCTATTTTTACAAAAGTTCACTCAAGCTTGAAAGAAAACAGTTGAAACTCTTTAAGTACTATTAGTGTCATTAAAGCAAGAATTTAGTCCTTCTCCTTGAATCTATTAAAATCGGATGTTGTGGGCCAGCCAGATAGCTCAGCGGATTAAAAGTGCTGGATTAGGCAGACACGGGTTGGAGGTTCGATCCTTGGCCTGCCGTGCCAGGCCCCACCACTGGGGCAAGCTGAGACTTCTATTGAGATTGAACATGGTGGCACGTGCCTGTAGTCTTAGCACTTGGGAAGCTGAAAATAGGAGAATCACTATACATCCAATCACTATACGTCCAGACCCTGTACACCCAGCACTAAATAAAAAATAAAATAGGATGTTGTAATTAGTTGGGATAAGATGTTTGTTTTAAGAGCATATGTGAAATATTTCTTCTCTCTTTGCTGCCAGGAAAGATATCGCCATGGACTGGGCGTTTCTACTCACTGCTGGATCCTTCTTATGCTAAGAACAACATTCCCATCATAGCTTCTGTGTCTGAACATCAGCCCACCACCTGGTCCTCCTACTATTTTGATCTGCAGCTGCTAGTGTTCATGTTCCCAGGTCTGTCTGTCTTTATTCTGAAGTGGGCTTTGTGAGAATCCCCCCTTGATGTCAAATACATCAACTGCCCTCATCCTTGTTTTGTTTGCCTATTTATGCTGTATAGGACAGAGGATGACTAAGCCCATGTAGAAGTCAGAAGTTGAAGTTACAGATGTTGGCAAGTTCAGAACCTCAGAATTTTCTGTTCATTTGTATTATTTTAAAGTACAGGGGGCCTGGCCCTATCTCAGTTCTTTAAGTGGCTGCTTCCACAAAGCTGTCAGCCTCAGGTTGCTGTAGTTCGATCCCCACAACTCCAGCCAGCCAAATCTGCCCTGAAGGCATTTGGAGCAAAAAAAAAAAAAAAAATAATATCCTTAAGGGGCCGGGGAGATGGCTCAGTGGAATAAGCGCTTCCCTGGCAAGCGCAAGGGCCTGAGTTCAATCCCTGGTTCCGGAAAAAATAAATAAATAAATAAATAAAGTACAATTTCTCATTTTTATTTATTTTTTTTAGTTCTCTTACCCTCTCACATCAGTTTCCCTGTGGTCAGTATTGAAGCTCCTCAATGGGCTCTGCCAGTCCACATGGTTTAGAATTTACCAGTGTTAGTCGTCTTTTTGTTTTATAAGCTAACTTTTACATTTTTAAAATTGTATAAGTAGTTTGTATATTATAAAAAATGTAAAAAGAATTGTAGGAGTACTTACTACTTTTAGACACTATTAATATTTTAAGATATATTCATCTGTTTACTTATTAAATAAAACTGAGATCATATACATTTTCTCCCTAGTTATAAAGAATCATAATAAGGGGGCTGGGGAGATGGCTCTGTAGAATAAGTACTTCCCTGGCAAGCACAAGGGTCTGAATTCAATCCCCGGTTCCACCAAAAAAAAGAATCATAATAGGGCTGAGATTATAGCTTCATGGTAGAGCACTTGCCTAGGATATATGAAGTCCTGGGTTCAATTCCCAGTACTATGAAAAGAGAAAAAGAATCATGATCGTTTCTGTTATTTAGTATTAATTTATAGAAATATTTAAGGTTTTTATTTAAGAATAGAGTTGTGTAAAGTTGTAGAAGGCAAATAGTCGATATAGTCAATACAGTATTATTTTCAGTGATGTCTTCTATTTTTAAAATATGCTATAGTTATCCTTTTTTTTGTATTTAGTGCAGGGCCTACAGGGTCTCACTACACAGACTGAACTTGTAGTGATTCTCCTGTTTTCAGCTTCGCAAGTGCTGGGATTACAGGTGCATGCCACCACGCCTAGTCACACTGGGGATTGAATCCCAGCCGCTGTGTCTGCTGAAGCAGGCACTTTAATGTACTGAGCTATTTGGCTAGTGCTTCTGTTTTTTTTTTGAAGGATAAGCTCCTAGAAGTAGAACTGCTGGGTTAATTGTGTGGTGTCATCCAGTCACTTTCCCTTATAGGCTTCTGTCTACAAGACTCAGTGCTTACTTCTTATTCCTTCTTTTATAGTTGGCCTCTATTACTGCTTTAGCAACTTGTCTGATGCCCGGATTTTTATCATCATGTATGGAGTGACCAGCATGTACTTTTCAGCTGTAATGGTGAGGAATGTTCTCAGTCCTAGCCAAACTTTCCCCACCTAAATCTGAGGTGCTTTTTGTTTGTTTTGGTCTGATAGGATTTAGAAAAATATTAATAATTGTGCAGTTGTTTCTCCAATGAGCACTTGGGGGGGCCTGCGTTGTAAAGGTGCTTGCTGCTGTTGATCCTCCCAGGAATATATACGATACCTAGTAGCATTGGGGTTCAACTTTCTTGGGTTTGTAGTGTTTTGTCAGTGAGGCACATTTGTACTTTGTTAGAGAATTTGGAAATTTTCTTAAGGCCTGTGAAAATTATCCACTGCTAAATTGAAAGATGAGGGATTTTATGTATTATAGTAAGATGGTGTTTTTCATATAATTTTGATCTTGCACAGCAGTTAAGAACATAGGGCTGGGGCTATAGCTTAGCAGTGTAGTGCCTGTCTGGTAGGCATGAGGTTTGAGTTTGGTTCCTAGTATCCCCCAAGAGTATATCTATATCAGTGCTGTCTTATCTGTCCATTTATCTTTTTTTTTTTTTTTTTTGGAGACAAGGTCTTTCTATGTAGTGCAGGCTGGCCTTTGAACTATGTATTTTTTATTTTACTTTTATTAAAAAACATGAGATGATGAAAAACCCTAAATTGATGTCATAGTCTACCAATAAATTAAAGTCTGCAATTTTAAAGCACTGGCTAGATTGATCATGATTCCTGTTTTTTAGGTCCGTCTAATGCTAGTATTGGCGCCTGTTATGTGCATTCTTTCTGGCATTGGAGTCTCCCAGGTTCTGTCCACCTACATGAAGAATCTGGACATAAGTCGTCCAGACAAGAAGAGCAAGAAACAGCAGGACTCTACCTACCCCATCAAGAATGAAGTGAGAATTAAGTAACAGACTTGGCAAACTGCTCCTGTGCGTGTGTGTGTGCGTGTGTTTGCACGCATGCATGTGCACACATGTACTCGTGGGTACATGCCTTTGTGTTTGACTGGAATATAGTGTAGAGCACTATCAGGGTGGTCAGAATTAACTCATAGATTTACTAATTTTTTTCCCAACTCATTTTGATTCAAGGCATTTATATTATTGACTGTATAAGAAGCCATCCCAAGTTGTGTAAATTTAGTTTGGCTTACCACACAATTCTTCCTTTTTTAGGTGGCAAGTGGGATGATCCTGGTCATGGCTTTCTTTCTCATTACCTACACTTTTCACTCAACTTGGGTGACGAGCGAGGCCTACTCTTCTCCCTCCATCGTGTTATCCGCCCGGGGTGGGGATGGCAGTAGGATCATTTTTGATGACTTCCGAGAAGCGTATTATTGGCTTCGTCACAATACTCCAGAGGTAAAAATTTGGGAGCAGAATTCTGGGGGTGGGGAGAAAGGGGAGACATTTGATACTGTAGTAACTCAAAGTGGCATTTGGGCAGGGGAATGTTTGGAGATAATTAGACTATTGGAAACGTGGTTTCAGATGAGCTTTAGTGGCTAATGACCACTCAGTTCAGGGCTTTCTTCTGTAGCAATTCTTTTTTTTTTTTTTTGGACAGGGTCTTGCTGTGTAGTTCAGGATGGCCTTGAACTCATTGTGTAGCCCAGGATAGCCTCAAGCTCACAATAATCTTGCTGTTTCAGTTTCCCTAGTGCTGGGATTATAGGCATGTGCCACCGTGCCTGGTTTCTGTAGTGATCCTTAATTATCTATACTTGCTTACATACTTGTGTTGATACCATGGTGATATCTATTCCAAGGAAAGAAAAAGTTACAAATGATACATATTGACTGCACGAACATCAGCAAGTGGAAGCAAGGCAAAGGATGAAAATCATAAAGTTATCACCTGATAGCTGTTTTCTATTTATTCTTTTTGAGACAGGGTTTCACTGTGTAATTCAAGCTGGCCTTGAACTCACTATGTAGCACAGTCTGGCCTCCATTTTGTGACAACCTTTTTGCCTCAGCCTTCTGAGTGCTGGGATCACAAATAGATGTGTACCACCATACCCCGCTGTGTTAACTGCTTTTCAACATTTAAAATAAGTTTTTTAAAAATTTCTTTTGGGGCCGAGGAGATGGCTCAGTAGAATAAGTGCTTGTCTGGTAAGTGCAAGGACCTGAGTTCAATCCCCGGTTCCACCAAAAAAAAAAAAAAAAAAAAAAAAAATTATTTTGGAAGGTTTAATATTTATTAAAGATAGGAAAAGAAACATGGTCTGCAGAGTAAGTGCAGGCCAATTGAAAGCAGGAAGTTGAGTACATTGTACTACAGTAAGAGATCACTGAAAGCACACTGGCCAATTTTTTGTTTTTTAGAAGACACAAGGATTTATACCTATCCCCCCTTTTTTTTTTTTTTTGGCAGAACCAGGGATTGAACTCAGGCCCTTGCACTTGCCAGGGAAGCACTTATTCCACTGAGCCATCTCCCTAGCTTATAACTATCAAGGTACAATAAGAGAGCTAGTTTTAACATTTTGGCTGTTTGTTTTTTTTTATAAAACAGTTTTTTTACCTTTTGAGGATCTCAAGTGATTTGTTTCATAATAGCCATTATTAATAGCCTTTGTGAGTTAAGTCTACTAAGAGTCAAAATTCAAGAAGTTTTTCTTTAGCTGGGTATTGAACCCTGGGTCTTGCACATGCAAGGCAAACATTGACCTCTGATACCACTGAGTGATGTCCTTAGCTCCAAATCCTTGCCTCTTCCATCTGGCGATTTCCATTTCATCTTTTGTTTTGCAGAACTGGGGATTGAACTCAGGCCCTTGTGCTTGCCAGGGAAGCGCTTATCCGTTTCATCTTTAGAGCTGATTTTTTTTGATGCTTCTAAAGTCATTTATTTAATAAATTTATTTAATGGTATTAAGCTAATTACTTGGGCTGGAGAGATGGCTCAGTGGTCTAAAGCACCTACTTGGAACAAGCTTTGGCAAAGCACAGGGACCGCGGTTTGATCCCCCAGCACCACATGCCAGCCCCGCCCCCTGGTGGGCTGAGCTGGCCACACACATACACACACTAAATAAAAAAAATGTAATAAATAATTAAAAAAAAAAAACAAAAACCTAATTACTTGACTATTACATAGTCCTGTACATCTTCCGCTTTTCTTATATAAAGTGATCTGGGATGCAGGTCTTGGGAATATGAGATTGTGTAAATTTGTTGTGAGATTTCCTGATTGTAGATGAATCAGGGGGCCTGCTCATTAGCTCAGTTGTTTAAGTGACTGCTTCAACAAATCAGCCAGGCTCAGTATGCTGTGGTTCGATCCCCATATCCTCAAGCCTTGTCAGACCTGCCCTGAAGGCATCCTGAGCCAGCACCCCCCCCAAAAAAAAACAGCTCTGTAGATGAATCAATGGAGGAGCCGGTGCCAGGTTTATTGTCTGGTTAGGAGTACATTATTTTGTGAAGATACTGATGAGTTAGCCAGGCTGCACTAGCAGCCCAGAGGTGCTTGTCCATTCCTTCTCTTACACTTGATGGTTGGGGCAGTGACGAGACTGTTTGTTGTTTCCATTTTCCATTCTTCTTTCAGGACGCAAAGGTCATGTCATGGTGGGATTATGGCTATCAAATTACAGCTATGGCAAATCGGACAATTTTAGTGGACAATAACACATGGAATAATACCCATATTTCTCGAGTCGGGCAGGTAAGGTCAAAGGGATCTTTTGAGTATGGTATGTAAAGTCTAGTTGGAAATGTTCCTTTGCTCTGAGGATTGTGTGTTTATTTTTTTTAGGCGATGGCATCCACAGAAGAAAAAGCCTATGAGATCATGAGGGAGCTTGACGTCAGCTATGTGTTGGTCATCTTTGGAGGCCTCACTGGGTATTCCTCTGATGGTAGTGTGCTAGATTCTTTTCTGACTGCAAGTCATCGAGTCTAAGAAAACAAATGAATCTCTTGTTTTTCTGTCCTTTTACTTTTGCAGTAAATAGGAAATAAATGTAAATAATTTTCATGGAGATAAAGACATTCTAGGATTATCTAAAGATGTAGGGGTATTTCCACAGCTGGTAAGACACAGCACAAAAGGCTCTTAAAAATGAAGTTTAGAATTAGCAATGGCTGGGCATAGTGGCACACATCATCTGTAATTCTAGCACTCTAGGCCTCTGAGGCAGGAGGATCACAAGTTCCAGCCCAGTCTGGGCAACCTAGTGACTTAGTGAGACTCTCTTACAAAAAAAAAAAAAAAGTAAGATGATGCAGTGGAGCTGAGTGTGAAAGCCCTGGGTCATCTCTAATATGGGAACAAAACAAAACAAAAAAACCCAGAGAGAACCGCAGCCCAGTCAGGTGCCATGAGCTCTCCCAGCGATGTGTCCTCCCAGAAAACCGGCTTTGGCCCGGAGGACAAAGAGCACACCGAGCTCAGTCAGCCGACCCCTCAACCCAACAGGCACAGGATGTGGCCCTCGACTTGGAGTCTTCCTGGAGCGATGAAGACGACAGCATCATCTTCAAGCCCAGGAGCGACCATGACCCAGACCACATCCTGTACGAGCTCAGCTCAGATTCTGACGATGAAGTGATAGGGGTGAGGAGAGTACCTTGGGGGTGTGAAGGCCGGCCTAGTTCCCCGGCTGATGAGGAAGAGGACATTGCCCTGGGCCTTGAAACCCACCTCAACATCGAGCCGCAGACATCTAACCTGGAGACCCCGG